TTGGACAATTTTTATCAAAAAGATTTGAAATTTTGAGGAGATTTTTTTCTGTTGTGAATTGAGCCTCAAGGAACCAGATGAAAAAACACAACGAAAAGGACGTTTTGGCTAACATTCTAACCGCTACTGGACATCTGCTCACACCACATTGTACAGGCTAAGCAGTAAAGAAACTCAAAACAAACACGATATAGGCTATGTCAGACAAAATTCTTCCATGCACAGCTGTGATATGACTGGATGTCATTATCTGCAGGCAGAAACCAAGAACACGAAAAAGAGGCTATAAGTGAGTTGACGGCAGCACGATGACGTTATGAATATTCATGCGATAACGAAATGTGCCTACAGGTGTCCAGCTATGTGGAAACCGATTTGGGCCATTCCTCTGTTATTGGCGTTATGATGACCAATCGTAGAGCTTACGACCATGCAAATTGGATTAAACAATCGTACTTCAACATGGTGAGAATGATCAGATTACGGTAACCCCGAGTAATGGAAGAAGGTGACGTTCATACTGAGACCTAATCAAGTGAAAACTGATCTGAGGATGCCATCTCACGCATGAAATAAAAACAATGGCTTCTAAAACTTCCTGTCAAGATTTTCTCGGTAACGTCAACCACGGGGTGAATTCCGATTCATCCATAATTGTAGGTCTTCAATCCCGTAGGGACTACTGTACTGCTTAAACTACAACATATACTAATTGAAGCAATTACTCATCCTCTTTTGCCGATCGATACCACAGGGCGCCGCAAAATGATAAGACAACCATGTAACTGTCAAAATTTTATCCTCTACTATAGTTCTATTATATTTTATTTATTGCGAATCCTTGCTTTCTAAGAATTCAAGGAATTTGAAAAAATTCCTTACTTAAACTTTCAGACTTTTGGAGAGAAAAATATGCACGACTACCATTATAGCAAACACTTTTGACAGCTATGTGTGGAATCGAAATTAAGATTCAAAAACCAGAGGCAGGCAAAAAAGGCATCGCTGATTCATACTTCGTCTATGCTACTCCTGTGCTTGAGAAACATTGACTCGAATATTTTTTTTCGATTCTGGAAAGGGGTCGAGTGCATGGCTCATCTTGAGAACGTGTGTGAAACTTAAACAATCGAGTGTACAGTTTCCCGTGGATGCGTTACAGTAGCAAAAAATATTATTATTATTATATTTGTGTGCGTAACGCGATCGATGGATCTAGTGTATACGGCCATAATTGGGCATGGTTATGGTGATTGGTTATGGTTATATCGTGAGGCGACTTTGTCAGACGAACGCCTTACGGTGTTCCCCATATGTATCCCACCCCTACAATTCTTAGCTTCGAATAACGCTTTATATTAATGTATTACTTTATTTCGGGGATAAGGGTGGTAATTGAAAGAGCAGCAAGAAGACCGGGTTTTGCTACTATTTTATGCCTCCAAACTTTTAATCCATTATTTTTTCATTAATTCTCCTTATTCAGAGTTCGACTGAAGTGTACACGACTTGCCAACGATCAGCCACCCTACAGCGTCGCCATTCCACCTACCAGGATGTTGACGGAAATGGTGAGGAAATGAACGGCATTGGATAGAATGCGCGGGCGTGATTAACACCCCAAAAAAGTGGAACGGATTCTTGAAATTAATGGTAATCTGGAAGAAAACGATTCTTCCTGTCTGAATTGACCATGACTGTTCAACTAGCGATATTTTCCTATGCCAGTTTTGCAATGGGGTTTGGTAGGTTTTAGTCCACAATATTATAAGGGTTTTAATCTGTTTCCTTGTAAGTGCACAGTTATAGTAAATTTCGGTAAAAATTAGTACTTCCAGAATTCAATTTTTAATATTTGATTTTTATGCAAAACTTTTTTGAAGTTTGTTCTGGGCATTCCATCAGAGCAAGTTTTTCAGATGAACATAGCCAGGTGATGGACCTTGATCGAATACTGAACACTCGTATAGACGGACTTGAAATCGCTTTTGAAAGGACGAAAGCCTGGAGCAAGTACGATTTTCTTTTTTCTTCACTTTGTTGTTATTTGAAGTGACCATTCTAAGAGCATTGCTCAAAAACGCCACATGAACAAAGCAGGCCTGTGACTGGCTTCCGCCAAAATTCAACCCGTCACAGTGTTGCAATATTTTATTGCAATAAAGGGGGAGCGCCTTTTTGGCATTTTTTAAAATTATTTTCAAATTACTGACGAGTCGCTTGTGCTACTACCCCTACTGACTGAAATCTGCAAAATACGTGGCAGATCCCATCACCATCTTCTACCCGTTTCAGTTCTATGTTCGAAGTTGTCAGAGGGGGACACGGCCCTAGAAGTCTTAGAAACTTTAAATAATATATCTGTCTGACGGGTACCCCCAGGAGGCCCGTCGCGCGGCAAGAATGCCGAGTCAGCGGACGAGTCGCGCGCGTATTAGGGAAATCGCGTCAAGTTAAATAGAATGTCCCATTGCACGTCCTTCATCGCACATCACGCGCCGCGACTCGTCCGCCGACCTCCTCGGCCTTGCTTGCCGCGCGATGGGCCTCCGCCCCCTACGCGCATGACACGCCTCCTTCAGACAGAGAGGCTTTGCGTTTAGTTTTTCGCGTAGCGTGTTCGTGATCAGAAGCCCAGCGGCTTTGATCAAATACGTCCTCTCCAGACACAAATTCATGTCAGTAGCCTTGGAATTTCAGTTACTCAAAGGATCTGTTGTCCTACATCCGCGCCCGTCTTCAGCTAGAACAGGAACATGCTCGCAAAGTGACGACGTTGGTTGAACAACATGTACGACGGGCCGCATATTTCTTTTCGATAGGCTATCGATACTTGTGCCGTCCTGAAAAATACGGCAAAAAAACGAAGAAACTCATCGGGACGAAAAAAACCCACCCAGCTTTCAAATGAAGTAAAATTTTTCGAGCCTTGCTACAAGTGCGGCTTTCGTTTCCAAAAGTTTTTTGAGTCCTTCTCATTTTGGCAAGAATTTTAATGAGTAGTACTTTTTTGTCATCGATACTGCGTTCACAGTGTCTTGTGTTTTTTATGATACTTTGCTTGGCCACTTGTCTTGTGCATCTTTTTCACTTCCCTTTTTACGCCTTTGCTAAAATTAAGTCATCTTCATCCCAGTAATCATACAGCTTTCTCGCGCAAGCTCCTATCCAACGTATTGATAAATTTTGCAAAAATTACTCTCCGAGAAATTTTCATTCTTCACTTCCAGTGCCGCACAAGGCAAATTAACTCTGTCACAGTGTGGCGCACTTCTTCCCTCACATTCGAATTCCCCGCCAGGGTCTGTCTATCTTTTGTTACGTTTGGACACATGGAAAAATTACTTTTTACGACGCCCCTCCCCCAGACGTGGGAATTGGTACGGACACACCCTTCTGTTTGGCCTCGTCGAGCACGAGTATATGTATTCACTCCAGTGAAAACCGGTAAAATATCTTCCGAAAGTTTCCTCTCTGCACCTCGCCGCTTCCAACCAGGGTCAACCCTACGTTGTTACGAGTAACAACGGGGGGGTCGTACTCAGTTGAGCTTGGAGGGAGGGGGGTCGTACCCTCTCGGTGGCCGACAGTGGGATTCTTGGTAATATCGGATAATAGCCAGCACGTTACGTTTTCGTAAGACGTACCAAGATTACAGCCATGCTAGTACCAATGCACGCCACTCCCCTCTAAATGAGCTTTCAAATAAATCAGCGAATTAGAAGGGCACCCGAGGCGTGGCGCGTACCAAGGCAAGGAACGTAGTGCAAGCGCATGCTCGATACTTTCTAGCACATCCTAAGTTGAACATGACATTGGTCTTCCAAGAAGTTACGGGCAGTGAAACCTAAGAAAACTCGCGTTTTCGAGAAAATGGCTTGAAGAATACCCCTCAAAATAAAAAGTAACAACGGGCTAATTTTTGAACTGCTGATCTTTCAGGAACGCTTGGGTGCTCGTTAGAAAGCTTGAAACCTGTGGTTTATTATACCGTGTTCAGCTTCCCAAATGAATGACTTTGAAGGAAGTTATGATCGTTTGAAGGTCAAAAAGTCGCGGTTCCAAAAAAATAGTAACGCAAACCCCCAAAAAAGTAAGTAACAAGCACTAATGGTCCGCCCAACCGGGACTACTAATTTTTGAACTACTGATCTTTCAGGAACGCTTGGGTGCTCTTAGAAAGCTTGAATCCTGTAGTTTATTATACGTGTTCAGCTTCCCAAATGAAGTGACTTTGAAAGAAGTTATGATCATTTGAAGGTCAAAAAGTCGCTTTGCACAGAAAAAAGTAACAACGTACTAAATTTTTATTAAATTAACTTTCGAAGAATTTTTACCTATGGTTGGAGAGAGAATAATTTGAATTTTCCAAATCAAATCACTTCGGCGCTGAAGCTCGAATATGAAGGAAGTTATAGCCTTAGAAAGAGGGGTGTAAAAATTGTGTTGCAATTGAAGAACGTGAAGGATTTCACTATTTCAATTGGAGCGATAATTTTTTCTGACTTCTTATAAGTTTTTATCAGGTAATGTTGTCAATATTACGGTCACTGGTTCAGCTTATTTCATCTCCTAGTTTGGTAACCCTTTGGAGTACACGGATATCTTTGAATGCATCTCATTTTTTCGTGTTTGCAAGCAGCGATGAATTTCTGTCGTGGATTTTGCTAAAGTTTCATCTTTAATGACTTACGTAGAAATAAATATTGATGGTAAACACTGTCTCTACACAAGTGTTACAATACAAAGGGGGGGGGGGTCGTATCAAACCACCCTGAAGGGGGGGTCGTAAAAAATTTCCGAAGAGTAACAAACGATAGGGTTGACCCTGATTGACCACTGTTTCACACACGCATATTTTACTATAGCTCTCGCCGCGCTGTCGCGTGCGTGGAGGCAAATCGCCACGTTTAGTATGCTACGCAGAAAATTCAAAATAAGCGAGTAAACGTTCTACATGCTGCGTTTCATACATGTGCCCGATTAACAAGCAAAAAAAATTCGAAAAATTGCTTCATAACCTCAGGGACCTCACAAGTGGGTGAGGGAGCGCAACAATTGGGTAAGCAACAAATATGAGCCGTAATATTTGATAGAGCCTTTCTAATGAGCCAATTTAATTGTTTTGCAGCCGTTTATGCCACTACGAGATGTGTTCGAAAGCAGTTTTGACAGTGATATCGACTTGGTCGGCAGGACGAAGGAGACCACTGATCACCTGAAGGCTCGAGTCGTTGAAGTTCGTAGCACAACAGTTCTTGTTTCTACCCCTTTCCTTACATTTCTAAGAATTTCCTACGGCGTTGTCGCGTTTACAGCATTGCTTCCAGCATCACTGTACATCTAACCAGTATCTCGTTATCAAGAAAACTTTATTAGTTACATATGTCTAGTGAAGAAGAAAATGAAAAAAGAAGAGAGGGAAAGGAAAGATCCTGAAAATATGCTTTCTTATTTTACGATCCCTTCTTCTATGACCGTGTATTTTCTCGACGCTCCTGGTTTCGTTTTCTCTTCATCTTTCACTTCCGTTTCAATTACATTCGTTTTTATATCAGTAGTTAAATTTGATTACATACTTGTTACCGTAATTAGTCGGAAGCAGTAATTCGGCATCTCTGAAGCATTTTGTGAGGTAAAAAATAACTACGGATGGTTCTGGTTCCTACTAATCACTGCTGATGACTGATTACTTGCAAAGTACGATACCGTTCAAATATCTATCATATACCCTCCTTAA